TCTCTCTCTCTCTCTCTCTCTCTCTCTCTCTCTCCCAGACACACACTCACACACACGCGCGCGTGCGCACACACTCACCTGATCCATAACATGACATTTTTGAAAACACCCCTCTTTTCTTTTCCTCTGTTGCCTCCTCCTCACTCTTTATTGACTATATGAAAATGTCAACTGATGATCTACAGTATAGAATGATAAGGATTTTTAACCACTTTTTATTCAAAAAGTCTTGAAGGTGGGACCACATTACTAACATGTATTACAGATAGAAAAAGAAGGGACTTCTTTTTTAAAAATAAGCATAAAATGTCAACTCATGATCTGCATCATAGGCTAGTGTGATAGGGATTTTAACTGCTTTCAACTAAAGTATAAAATCTATAAATAGAAGGCGGGATCGCAGATGTAACTTGTATTTCGGAGAAGAGAGTGAAAAGCATTCTTTTTTCAAAATGTATGAAAATGTCAACTGATGATCTGCAGTATAGTATGATAGGGATTTGTAACCACTTTCAACTCAAAAAGTCAAATTTAGAAGATGGGACCACATAATATAATATCTAACATATTGTATTTCTGAGAAAAGAGTGATGGGCCCTCTTAACGAAAAAATGTACGAAAATTTCAACTGATATTATGCAGTGTAGTATGGTATGACAGGGATTTTTAACCGTCTTCTACTCAAAAAGTCTATTTAGAAGGTGGGACCACTTATCTAACATGTTTAGATAGGAGAAAGAAGGGCCCTCTTTACAAAAATCTGTATGAAAACATTGGTTGTTGATCAGCAGTATGGTATATTAGGATTTGCACTTTCAACTAAGAAAAATGGTTATTCAAAAAGTACAACCACCGATCTAACAGGCATTTCGGATAAGAGAGAGAAGTATTGTAAGTCGCTTTCGAAGGTCCTTGAATGTTTTGACTGTTATGTGTAAGGCTCCGCCATACGCCATTTTGAAAAGTGACGTATGAAGGAGTAGTACACTGAGCTGTTGATTTTTTCTAACTAAGAATAGCAGCAGCTTCATTTTTTGGTAGAAATTGACTTTGAACATTACTCGGATGGCGATCCGAACGGCCGTTTCTCGTTTCGATTTTTAAAAACAGCTAAGGGACCTTAAACATGCCAAATCTTTACACGAGACCTCTGAAATTTTTCTTCAGGGGTCACAAAACTTTGTTCTCCAACTGAGAGAATGCCGAGCGCAGGCCATATAACTGTGTTGTCCAATCCTATAGACTGCTTTAATTCAAAGATTTGGTGTGAAAGATTGACATGAATGGAATACTTACTTTCTTACTTACTCTACTTTATCCGTCCTCTTATACCTGGAGGGCATCGAAGGGAGAAAATGCTTTCTCTCTCTAGCAAGTTAGATGGTCTGGCTGGGTGGAATGTTGTATTATTTCAAGGTATCCTTCACACCTTCGATCCAGGTCTTCCATGATCTTCCTCTTGCCTTGCACCCTGTTATTTTTTTGTAGTACACTTTACTGGAATACGTGGCTACGTGGAATACAGTGCGTTAAGAAGACGTTAAGTTTGATTAGATAAGCTATGTTGAAATATAGTATTTCTAGTGACCACCAGGGTACCTTCTGAGTTGATAAGAGGGGTCACAAAACTTTTTTTTCAAACTAAACAAAGGAACTAAGAGGATGCCGAGAGCAGGCTGAATAACACATGAGTTCTAAAACTTGATCTTCCCAGCACCTCATCGATGGACTTCTCGCGGAAAGCGCCCGCCCCGCCCCTGCCACGCCCACTGCCCGCTCATCGAGGGGCGGGGCTGGGATGGGCCAACTGTGGGTCAAGCTGGACGAGCTGAAGAGAGAGAACGATGACCTCAAAAGACAAAGGGGAAGGTCCTCGGATGAGAGGGCGGGGTCTCCCAAATCGCCGAAGTCACCAAAGCCCCAGGTAAATGGAATAGTAGTTTTGTTGTTGTTGTTGTTGTTGTTGTTGTTGTTGTTGTTGTTGTTGTTGTTGTTCCTTTGTTTGTTTGTTTTGTAAATTAATGTATTGTTTCTAAGCCCCCATCAACACAATTTTGATCCTTTAGGAGAGGAGCTTCTAATCCGCTGCCTGTCTGGGCCAACCCGGGCTGAGAGAGACACACCTCAACAGATAGACTGAGTCCCTCGATAAAAAATGTATTCCCGCTCGGGAATCGAACTAAGGTCACCAGCATGCTCTGTGCACTTTGCAACTATTCTTACCACAGCAGATCCAAGAGAACACCCATAAATATTCTCGGTTTCAAGGGAAGCATATAGTGCTAGCTACGGATTGCATGTGCTGAAACACGAACAAAGTGACAAAATCTTCCAATGTAAGTACACGTATCCGGGTACCCATTTCAATCTGGGCGAAGTCTGGAAAATACGTGTGAAGTGTCTCAACGTCTAGCCCCTGATGAGATTTGGACCAGTTAACTTGGTCCGAAAGCCTACCAGTAGGCCACCGACGTCACAGTTATATAAATGTCACCACTAAAGCCGCTGAAGATATTTTGTTTTGTTTGTCAAAGGGAAGTTCTTTATGGTGCTTACATATCAATTGTTCTTTCTCAATTGTATACAAGATAATATCACTCCCTTAAAATAGTATTAGACTCACAAAAATATAGCATAGCAGATGTCCCCAGAGACATTAGTGAGGGTGTTTTTTTTTCAAATTTCACACTGAATAGTAACTCATCCTGTAGTTGTTTGTGGTGTCTTGCGATTAAGTTTGTGCAACCTGGGAGTGGACAGTATTGTGCCTGTACGTCAAATGTTTGACAACGTATATTATATTTATAACACAGTACATATCTTATATATTATAGTGTTCTTCTTCAAATAAATGTGTCAGTGCACATTGCCCCAAACCTTGTTTTTTCTTTAGTTTCGTTTTAGTTTAGAGATGTACAAGGGTGTATCATGTGCATGAACTAGGGTCACGATGAAACGCTCAATAAAGAACCTGCGAACGGACCACGTACAACTCAATTTCCACTTGAACTGAATAAAACCAGACTTCCCCCAAATGTGTCATTTGTGTGACCTTGCATATGAAACTGCTGATCATCACCAGTTCCACTGCACATCCCTAAATGACATGAGAGCTGCACTTCTCCCTCCGATATCTAACATTGATAACACACTCTGTGGAACATTACAACAACTGCATCAAAACTGCACTTATCAACACTACATGGCATTGGACAGAAGGGCGAGAGCCCAGCTACTGCATGTGTGCTGGATTGATAACAAGAACAACAAGAACAACAACAGCAACAACAACAACTCAATAAAGAAAAGCGAGTCTTAACAAACCTGTGCTGTCAAGAGTCGCAACCCAGCGATTTCAAGGTTGAGAAGTGGTGAGGTGTAGGATGTCGGGAAATATGATTTTCTTGGAAATGAGGAAAACGACTCAATTGAACTTAAAGTGATGTAGATCCACATGTACCTATCAGTATGAAATAGTTTGATATGGCGTTGCGTTATGTCACATTATGGAATAATATGTCATGTCATGGCATGGCACTACGATATCAGATAAAAATTGTTATAGCATGTGATGCGATTAAGTTGAAGTAGATGATACTCAGAGAGAATATTTTCGAGATGGGAATCCGTTTGATATGTCTTGTCACGAAATTTTGTTAGAGTACGTTTGATTATAAGTAAACACATGACTATGAAACAATTATTTAGTGCAGAGAAAAGGTGAAAAAAGACGGACAGTAGCTACGGAGACACCACTAGCATCATTCGCATTCATACGAACGACACGATGTATTTCTCACACACACAGACGCACACACACACACACACACACACACACACACACACACACACACACACACACACACACACACACAAACATATGTGAAGCGAGCTGACAAAATGAGTTACTTCTCGGATTCAAGCCTTAGGGCAATAGATACATCAAGCTTATAGATTAAGTTATTACAATTTGTAAGTATGAAATAATAAAACACATGTTATAGTTAAAGAATATGCCATCAATAGAAAATCTACAAATTTGACCCTAATGTCGATTTTTGGCCTATAATATATCCACGATTGGATTGCAAGAAGTAACTCATTTTGTTAGCACGCCTCACATATATATATATGTATATTATATGGCTTTCGTGGCCTAGGGGTTCGCCTCTCATTTAAAGGTCCCGGATTCAAATCCGGGTAGCGATCGAAAAATTATTTTCTTTTCTTCTCTAAATTTGTCTCCTTTCTCCTCCTTTCCTGCTCTCTAACAATGTTCTGTCGTCTGCTTTCGTCTCCACTTTCTGTCTCACCCCCTCACCTCCTTTGCCCATTCCTCTGGGCTGCTGACTCTTTCTGCAGCCTTTCTACTGCTACTCCTTGACTCCTTCTAACTGCTGTCTTTCAGCCACTCCCCTGGACTTCTAGTAAGAAAGATGTACACCTAGCCTTCTGGGACAAGGGCGAAAAATATCGGAGGGTCCATGTGCAAGTTGCACACGTTTAGAGATCCCTTGGTGGTCTGAAATCTTCAAGAGTAGGCTTCGGCCGCCACCCGGGCAAAATTCAAAATTTCCTACTAAATGGTATGTGTCCCGCGCGCTCATATGACCTTATGCAGTTGCGATCGCCGTAAAACACTTACCCCCCCCCCCCCCCCCCCCCCCAAATTTTTTTTAAAAAAATAAAGTGTGCATACTTTAGATAGTCATAGCTTACTTAATTGAAGGTAAGTAGATCTAGTGGCCAAATTTTGCAAGAAAACTGAAGTAAGTTATCTCCATAAGTTGCATGAGTATCAACGAAAAAAGTTCCTGTTTTCAAGTGAAAAAACTCTGGTTTTTGGGTTTTTTAAAAATTCATTCAATTGCCTTATAATGCGACTATTTGTACACATGCTTACAAGTTAAGCCAATGATTCACTTCCTTTAAGTCTGTTAGTGTCGAAATACATAAAATACTGCGGTATAATTTCTGCTTTTAAAACATGCCACCTTTATTGGCAGTATGATAGAAGGCAAGCATTAGGAATGCTTCAGGCTGGAAGTACATAGCGAGATGTGGCTCAAAGGCTCAGCGTCCACAGAAAAAGCGTTAAACTTTAGTGGGCAGGTGTCGAGGCGTCTTGAACGACGAATCATCATCATCATCCAGGGCCAGATATGCGACAGACATCGGCGATCATGGTTCTCCATTCATTCCTTTGCTCGGATGCTCTCAAAAAAGCTACGTTTCCCTGACGTTTTCCTGTTACTCATTTGTTTGGGTTCCCTAAGTGTGTTGTTCTGGGCCTACCCCTGCCTCGTTTGCCTTCAATTTTTGCCAGTGAGAGCTAGAATGGTAAACCTAACTCAGATCGCAAGACAGAGACAAAACCAACACATCCACCGAGTTCATTTCCAGAACAGATTGCGTCCTGCATCACTGCGGCATATAATGTCCCTGGATAAAGACAGCGAGAACTGAGCAGCCCAAACGTTAGATGAACTCGAGCACAAGCTGGAAAGAACCTAGCAACAGATCCCCATCCCCATCATCCAACAACGTATCTTTTCCATGCATCGACAGTGTCACTCAATCATCAGTGTGACAAGTGGCCTTTTTTTTGGCTGCCAAACTTACAGGAATTAGAGAAAAAAAGATTCAGACCACAGAGATGAGATGTTACCGTAGACTCCTTGACATCTCGTACAAAGACCACGTTTCAAATGCTGAAGTACGAAAGAGAATCACCAACGCAGTGGGGCAATATGAAGATCTACTGACCACAGTGAAGAGACGAAAACTAAAATGGTATGGGCATGTCACAAGATCCACAGGACTTGCCAAAACAATCCTGCAAGGAACCGTACAAGGAAAGAGAAAGAGAGGAAGGCAGAGAAGGAGATGGGAGGACAACATTACAGAGTGGACATGAAAGACGATGGGTGACAATCTGAGGAGAGCAGAGGACAAAAATAGATGGCGAGAGCTGGTTTTCATATGCAGTGGTGCCCCAACGGTTGCCCCAACCACAGGATAGAAGAAGAAGAAACTTACGGGGTACTGATTTTGGGAATTTGGAAATTGGGGCTCAACTTGTGGTGGCTATTTTTGTGCAAAAACGAACACCTCAGTGAAAACTGTTGACCCTCATGGCTTTCACCTTGATATGTGTGTCGTCCAGAAAATGAATGGATTCTCTAAAGAAGACTGGTTTGCTACCAAAATATTTGATTTCTAGGCACGCTTTCTTTTTCTACGTGTACACATAATTATATGTACATGAGTGTAATTATTATATTATTATCTATCCACAGCCGGGTCACACTGAAGCTGTGAGCTCTGACCTCCTCCGCGCCCGCAGTGAGAACGAAGCTCTGAAGCAGCAGGTGGAAAAGCTTCAGAAATCCCTGAAGGAACATCAGTCTGTGCATTCTACGCTGCAGGATGAGTACAAAAGATCAAAGGCCGCTCTTGAGGCAGCTCAGAAGTCGGCTATGAGAGCCAGGGAGGAGACAAAGAAGATGGAAAGCAGTGTAAAAAGTATGAGGACGGAGAATGAGTCTTTGAAGCAAAAGTGAGAATTTTTCTTGTGAAATAAAATTGAAACTGTCCAAGACAACTGCCTGTCGTCGAGGAGAAAATGGTTGTAATAGACAGGTGGTCCTCTTGGACAGTGCCTTTATAGTATTTTTCAAATGTAAGGGGAGGAGGGAACCGAAAGTTGTCATTTGTACAGGCGATTGTTTTTGACAGATGGTCATTAGAGCAGGTTGGATTTTAGGGCCTTCTTTGTTATTATTGTGTTCAAAATCTGGGCAAGTAACAAGTAGTATGTAAAACGCTGGAGCTGAAGTGCTGATTTATAAGTTTCCCTTCTCAGTCTCTCTGTCTGTCTGTCTGTCTGTCTGTCTGTCTGTCTGTCTGTCTGTCTGTCTGTCTC